ATATATATATATATATATATATATATATATATATATATATATATATGATAATCTTAGAGAGCATTCAGATTTAAGAAAACCCACCATCACCTGCAAGAATATAATTACATTTTCTTAAACCTTATTGATTTTTATAAGGAAGTAACATTATATGAACATATGTAGATATTTTAAATATGATTTTTTAAAAATACATATTAAAATATCTAATTATGAAATTTTTATAATTTGTTAGTCTTTAATTTGAATATAAGTTGTTAACAAGTATATTTTGTAGTATAATATGTAGTAAAGAATTAAGTCTTAGGAGACATATTTATGTTTAATTTAATCATTGGAGGATTGCTCCAAGAAAGAGCAATTAGAGTTGCTCATGAATAAAGATAGAATATTTGTAAACTGGTCTGTTATACTAAAACCAATCAAGATAGTGAGTTTTGACACTGAAACTTCTTCATATCTAGTTTTCAGGGTTATATTCAGTCCAATTATTTGTATTCCTTCATTTTTACTCTGTGGATTGAAAAAATAAAATTAAATGATATTAGAATATTGTTACAAAATTTTAAACTACAGAATCATATTCAGTAATTAGCTTTTAACTCTATCATGGTAAGAATGCAGTTCAGAACAGAATTTTTATTTCTAGAAAGTTTTTTTTGCAACTGAAAGTAATACAAGTTATTCTTAGCTAAATATATTTTCAAATATATTGTTTTTGAGTGAGTGAATTACCTCACATTTTCTGGTAATTACATGTGCATGCCCTGCATAGAAATAATAATTTTAAGAGTTTAAATATTCTGTAAAGATAATTTGTCCAGTCTTTGGTGAGATGAAATGACAATTTTCCCTTGATGAACATGACAAGTCATTTCTTTCAATGGCGAAAAATATCTTCAGCATAATATTGCAGCTAAGACACTTAAACTTTATGTGATACGACACACTAATAGAAGGTATCTTCCGTTCATTATGCAAAGAATTGAACTACTGCTTCTCCACCCAAAGGAGTATATTCAGTTTACATTTTTAATAATTCTTTTGCTTATGATATAGTCCTTTTCTGATCTTTTTGCAAGAATGTATTTCTAATAAATGATTTAATGAACAAAAATTGTATGTTCTTGCAAAATGTTGTTATCTTGTATTGAAGGATCTTAAGCCCAGTGTTGACACAGGCCATCACCAGGCACAATACTGTCATCACACTCCCTCGTTTTGTATGAAGACATGTCTCAACACACATAAAGACATTTCATCATATTCTGTCTATCATATACCATGTCCTAATATTATTTGGTTACATCAGAACTCAGTAAGACATAAATGATAGAGCAAACTGGGTGTTTTTATTAAGTAAAACACTTAAGTACGGAAAAGCAGAAAAAAATAGTCTTCTCTGAAAACAGAAAGAAATATCCCTTTTTGGAAATTGGTATTATAAACACACATGTGCACACACATGCACACCCCCATGCATATGGTATGTGAAATACATATAAACATATGTGTGGAAAATGCTTGTTTGATTTTGTCTGCATTGTTGTTAGCCTTCCTGCTATAATTTAGGAAAATCAACCTTTGAAAACGATAATATCCATTTTTTTCCTTAAAAAAAAAAAACTCAATGTGTTTTGTAAAGATACATAAAGTTCTAACAAAATGAGTCTTCTTGTTCACCTATAAACTCTTTTTTGGTAATCAATGAGACATGAGTATTCAGGAAACACTTGACTTGAAAGTGAATGAATTATTTAAGCCAATGATATCTTCCAACATATCTGTATGTACGATCAAACCCAAGGACATGGTTATGGTATAAATTTTCTTTTCTTATCCTTTCCTCTCCTTTGAGAAAGGGTCTTGCTCTGTTTCCCAAAGTAGTCTAGAACTCCTAGGCTGGAGCAATCCTCTTGTGTCAGCCTTGGGAATAGCTGGAACTATAGGCATGTGCTGCGTTGCCTGGCTTTAATAGATTTCTTAGTATGAGGCTTATAGGTGACTACATGACTCAGTGATTATATCAGGTAGGATGCTTTAGACAGCATGTAATAGATAACTCCAACAAAAACTGGCTTAAAAATAGGGAAATTCTAATAAGTGACAACAGTAGATGTAAATGTTAAGGCACTATTCCCAAATTTGCAAACAATTCTCCAGGTAAAGATAAAAGCTTTGAAGGTAAAGATAAAAGCTTTATTTCATACTGGGGCTCAGAGTGCAGAGAACCAAGCAGTTCTGCAACCCTCAACCCCAGCTGAATGTAGGAATATACTTATAAGGCCTAAAATCACAAAGAAAGGGTGGCAGGAGAAGCAATCATAATCACAAAGTACATTTCATACAAATGGAAAATTACAAAAATAGAGTCATATAGTCATATTCTCAGAAATTACATTCTCAGAAAAACAATTTTGCATTAGTCCCATAGAGCAAAGATATTGTGGTCAGGGTGTAAGTAGGTAGGGATGGAGGTGTTTGCTTCTATGCAAGTGGGCTCATGTGGAAAGGAGGCCAACTTCATACAGAGGTATCTGAACAAAATGTGGTAAGTCTGGGCTGATTTTCAGATCAGCCTATAACATAAAACACAATGCAAATACTTTACATGAAGTAATTCCTTTAATTCCCACAAATCCTAAGATGAATATTGTTATTACTCTCATTATAGATGAAGAAAATGAGAGAAAGTAAATTGTCTTAAAATATATTCAAGGTAGTAAGAGCAAAGCCAGGATTTGTATTATATGTTCTGGCTCTAAAACCTGACTGCCTAAGGAGTATACTCCACTGCCTCTCACATGACAAGAATTCCATAGGTTAAGTGGGATATAGGTGCAAGATGATCTCAAACATATTGATGCCTTCTCTGCCTTGCCTTTCCTGTTGTTGTCATTACACTAGGACCAGTTTCCCATTTAATTGCAATATTGCCAGTGTAAGGGTTAATTTACCTTTGTTTATATCCATATAAAAATAGGGAGACAGAGGAGTACATCTTTTTTGGGTAGGAAAATAAGATCTTCCTGTTTGTCTGGTTGTACCATTATTGGTAGTGTGCCTACTTCTGAATAAATAACTATCATCAGGGTATGTCAAGATCTCATTTGGAGGTATGGATGGGGTAAATTCCTAAATGCAATCAGGTCTATTTTGAAGAAGGAAAGGGGCTGCTTCAGTTAAATGAATATATTGAAGCTTTTCACACTAGTTTACTTGACAATTTATTTCTATCTTTGGCATACTTCATTAATTGATATTTGACAAAAAATATGTAGTATTTATTTCATTCAGCAAATATAAATTTTGACTTTTCTATATTATAGGGCATTCCTGGGATCCGTGGAAAGAAGGGTGTTAAAGGAAGACAGGTAACTTGATTCCTTTTTCTTGAAGTTCAGTATAGAGCAATATAATCTAATTTTGTGTTTTTGTTCTCATTAAAATATGGATACATTTTGCTTTCGTTGTTGTCATGCATAATCCATCTCATTCAAAAAGTTTAATTTTTTTGCTACTTTGTATATCATGGGGGTACTTAAGAATGTAGAAGAAAATTTAGATTTAAAAATAACTCTAAATTTAATACTTCTAAACCCATTTACTATATCAGTGGAGAAACCCTTGTCTCTCTCTCTTTTTTTTTTTTTTGTCGGTGATGGGGGGTGTCCAGGGATTGAACTCAGGGTCATTTGACCACTGAGCCACATCCTTAGCCCCATTTTGTATTTTATTTAGAGATAGGATCCCACTGAGCTCCTTAGCACCTGGCTTTTGCTGAGGCTGGCTTTGAATTTGCCATCCTCCTGCCTCAGCCTCCCAAGCCATGGGGATTACAGGTGTGTGCCATTGCACCCAGCCCCTTTGTCTCCTTTGAAGGAGCTAAAATGTCACAGAAAATGCGTGAACAGCTTGGAACACCAGTGGTAGCACTATTCAACCTATTCCTACACAAAGAGATGTCTTAGAAACTTCACTTCATGTTCTAGAGGTTTCTAAAATGCCTGTTTCAGCTGTTAGTTTAGAGACCGGGTTGCAACAGCTTTTTATATTTCCAGATTAAAAAAAATTAAAGGAGAGTGAATTTACTAGGTAATATAATACTTTCAGAAATGGGAGAAAATTTTGACATACTTGAGGACTGTGCTATTTAAAAGATGAGAAAAGTGTTCCAGACAAGTTGTCCTAGCTAAGTTAGTTGTCCTGGCTCAGGTTGTCCTGGCTAAGTTAGTATAGATAATTATCCACCTGCTTTCCACTGTGCAGTTTTTATTGCCACTTGAATGCATTTTCTAGGGTAAGCTGTCAAAGGCTGCATTGTTTTCTGTAGTTTATGAGGATAAAAATCAAGTTTTTATAACCATATTTTTAGAACTTTGGTATACACCTGAATAAAATTTTAATGGTTATAAAAATGGATATAAGTGTTTTCAAATATAACTTTTAAGGATCCAAATCTATTACAAATGCATATTTTAAAGCAATGACACATTGAAAACTTTAAAGAAAAGTACCAATAAAAGGCCTAGTAATAATTTCATTTGCTATTTTTCCACAGTTTTCTTGGATTCTGTTTTTGAATCCTATTAGATAATTTTATAATTCCTTGTTATAATTTGAATTTGAACTGTCTCCCAAAGTTTCATATGTTGACGACTTGGTCCCCCAAATGCAGCCATGTTCAGAAGTGGGGCTTTTGGAAATGATTGGATCATAATGGCTATGATCTCATCAATAGGTTAATTCATTTGTGGGTTCATAATTAAATAGATTATTGGGTGGTAGTGGAAATTGTAGGAGGTGGGGCTCAGTTAGAGGAAGTAGGTTAGAGGGCATGCCCTTGAAGGGTATATCTTATTTCTGACCTCTTTCTTTCTCTCTGTCATTCTCTTTCCACTTTCTAGCTGCCATGATGTGAGCAGCTTCACCATATCCTCTCTACCAGAATGCTCTGCCTCACCACAGGCCCATAGCAATGGAGAAAGATGATCATGATTGAAACCATGAGCCAAAATAAAATCTTTCTTCCCCTTAGATGTTTTTCTCAGGTATTTTGTCATAGTAAGAAACAGGTATAAAAAATGGCAGCTATGTATAACCTATCTATAATAATCTATAATATTTAAATCATTTTACATGTTATCCTTGGAGCTTTGTAATATTCCTTAAAGATAGAGTATGTGGGAAAATGAGGTTCAGAGATATTAAAAGATTTTCTCACATTCACATAGTTAAAAATGTTCAATCAAGAATTGAGCATAGCTCCTCTGAATGTTAATCCAGAATCCTTCCCCTAACTGCTTAGATATTTTTGCTTTCTGTCCTCTGCTCATACTATTTAGAAGAGTCATGAATTATTTTTTATGGTATTTGGACAAAATATGATACAACTATTTTAAAATTTCACTTTGAGGATTTTAATATGTTAGAGATAAACTTAACCAAATTATCAAGAATACAAAACAAGTCAAACATTTTGTTTTCCTGCTTATGCAATCAACTTAAAAGTTGGTCTTGTAACAATTATGAAAGTATTGTCATCATTAGCATCATCACCACTGTTTTTATTCACAAGCACTATTCTAAATATTTTATATGCTATCTTTTAAAAATTACACTCAAATATGTTGGTATGTTCTTTACAATTTAGTCTATGTATGATATATAAATTTATATTACATATAAAATCTTCCTCGACAGAAATACCTCTCTTCATATTACATATAAAATTCCTAATATAAATAAGAAGATCTGGGCCTTTTCAAATTGACATTAGATCAATCTTACCTTTTTTATTCTTTTTCTATCCATTCTGTGTCTTCTAAGTTTTTCCATCCTCTTCCTATCAAATCATGCCATTAATTAAAAAAAAAAAACTAAGAAAATCATTTATAATAATTTTAAATTACTTCTAGTACTTAAATCCTACCTTCCTTATTGTAATTAAAGTATATACAATCTTAAGATGAACCAATCTGCAATAGGGAATTGTAGACATTTGAGTAAATCAAATATTTTTGCAAAGCCCCAGTTATATATCACTTAGGTAGTCACCAATTTAATTTACTAATGACTTGGTCTTATGTATATATTAACTTGATCAGCAATGTATAGGCAACTCTAGTTTCCTATTACATAATGAATTATAAAATCTTCCAAGAAAATGTATAGATAACTTCAGGTTTCTTACTTCATAGGGAATTATAAAATTATCCAGTAGGACTCTATTGAATTCAAAAAGAGAGCTCCAGAAAGCGATGGGAAAATAGCGAATGAAATGATTGCTGGTCTCTTTCTTCAATAGTATCTTATGTAACCTGGCACCATAGCACATGCCTGTAATACCAGCAGCTCCGGAGGCTGAGACAGGAGGATTATGAGTTCAAAACCAGCCTTAGCAAAAGCAAGGCACTAAGCAGCTCAGTGAGACCCTGTCTCTAAAGAAAATACAAAATAGGGCTAGGGATGTGGCTCAATGATCAAGTGCCCCTGAGTTCAATCCCTGGCATCACACCCGCAAAATAGAACCTATGTTGCAAAATTTGCAAAATTTTTTTTGAATTAAGATACATGTATTTGTAATTGATTAAGATTCTTAGAAAAACACATGTATCCCATTTTTCCTAACTAATGTTTATATAGAGAATCTGGTACTATATGCTATATGTACATGTACATGTGTGCTATATGTACTTTTATCTTATTTTTATCACAAATGATTTGGCCATATTTATAAGGAAATTTTGAGAACTTAAGAGTAAGATACAGTTACAGCCACATAGCCACAAGTTAATTATGGCAAATATGATCTCAAAAACTATTGCAGAATACTATCCTATGTATTAATATTCCCCCTTATAAATGTTTTTGATACTGAGATTGAATACAGGGATGCTCTATCACTGAGCTACATTCCCACACCTTTTAATTTTATTTTATTGATTCTTTTTAGTTATGCATAACAGTAGAATTCGTTTTGATATGATTATACAAGCATGGAATATATCCTATTCTAATTAGGTCTTCATTCTTATACATGTACACAATGGTGGGATTCACTATGGTGTACTCATGAAAGTACATAGGAAAATCATTTCAAATTCATTCTACTGTCTTTCCTTTTCCTATTTTCCTCCCTTCTCTTCATTGCCCTTTGTCTAGTCTACACAATATTTATTCTTCCCTTCTCCCGGCTTATTGTAAGGTTAGCATCCACATATCAGCAAAAACATTCTATCTGGCTTTGGGCTCTGGCTTATTTCACTTAGTATGATCATCTCCAGATCCATCCATTTACTTGCAACTGTCATGAAGTTATTCTTCTTTATGGCTGAATAATGCTCAATTGTGTGTGTGTGTGTGTGTATGTGTGTGTGTATATATATATATATATATATATATGTTTTTATCCATTCATCTGTTGATGGGCATCTAGGTTGATCCCATAGCTAGCTATTGTGAATTGTGCTGCTGTAAACATCAATATAGCTGTGTCACTGTAGTATGCTGATTTTAACTCCTTTGGATGTATATTAAGGAGTGGGATAGCTGGGTCAAAAGGTGGCTTTATTCCAATTTTTTGAGGAATCTCCATACTGTTTTCTATAGCAGTTGCACCAATTTCCAGTCCTACCCAAAATATATGAATGAACCTTTTTCCTGCATCCTTGCCAACATTTATTGTTACTTGTATTCTTGATCACTGCCATTCTTATCGGAGTGAGATGAAATCTCACTGTAGTTTTGGTTTGCAAATTTATCTAATTGCTAGAGACATTTAACATTTTTTCATATATTTGCTTGTTAATCATTTGTCTTTCTTCTGTGAAATGCCTGTTCAGTTCCTTTATCTGTTTATTGCTTGAGTTATTTGTGGTTTTTGGCATTAAGTTGTTTGAGTTCTTTATAAATCCTAGAGATTAATGCTGTATTTATTTGAGGTACAGGTGGCAAAGATTTTCTCCCATTCTGTAGGCTGTCTCTTCATGCTCTTAATTGTTTCCTTTTGACAATATTAATTCTTCCTATCCAGGAACATGGGGCAAGGGTCTTTCTATCTTTTAAGGTCTTCCTCAATTTCTTTATTTAGTGTTCTGTAATTTTTATTGTAAGGTCCTTCACCTCTTTTGTTAAATTGATTCCCAAGGTTTTTGTTTGTTTGTTTTGTTTTGAGGCTTTTGTGAATGGGATGTTTTTCCTAATTTCTCTTTCAGCTGATTCATCATTGGTGTATAGGAGCACAATTGATTTATTTGTATTAATTTTGTATCCTACTACTTTGCTGAATTCATTTCATGTTCTAGAAGTTTTCTAGTGGAGTTTTTCGATCTTCTAAATATAGAATCATGTTCTCAGCAAACAGAAATAGTTT